ATACTCTTAACCGCCTAGGACTTTAAAGCTTTCCAAAGGAGCCGTACTTGTTCTATATAAAAAACGAAAAGTCTTTGTATTAATATACGTAAACGATATATTAGTTATGAACTATAAGAGCGTAAAGACGATGGTATAAAAGGTAGTTTAGGGATTAAAAGATACCTATGAAACGAAAGAGTTAAAACTGGTAAAGTAGTATTTAAGGATTAGGATAATACGTAATCGCAAAGTACGAATTATAACCTTAATATACGACGTTTATATCTAAAAGATTACTAAACGCTTTAAATTAACGAATAATAATGTAATGGGCTATGCCCATAGTAGGGCCCTAGCTAGTGCCAGGGCATAGTACGTAATTAAGCCCTTAGTACCTACGGAAGATAAGGCCAGCTATTATAGGTACGGCTTATACGGCGTACCTTTTTCTTCCTTTTTTTCCTCGTTTAGCTTTAGTTTATTAACATACGGCTTTTACCTAGCGAATAGCTCTTAAAACCGTAATAAAAAGCTAGATTAACCTTCTTTTATCGTTTTACGGATTAGTATTTTAGCGAGCGGAATTAGTAATAGGAACGGCGATATAATACTAAAGGAAGCGGTAGCTAGTAAAATTAGTAGTCGGAAAGGCGGTATTAGCTTTTAGATATACGCGCCGGTAGTAACCTACGGACGAAGACCGATATAAGATTATCCGAAAAGAAAACGACCGATAACCCCGAGAAAACGTAGATTTAAACGGTAATTTCGAAATAAAAGAACGACGAAATCGACGAAATCTACGGCTAAAAACGGCGGAAAATTTTTTTCCGAAGAAAGATAGTAAACCGCTAAAGCATAGCGCTCGTCGAAAGTTAAGAACGCCCGAGGCGTAATATAAGAAAGGAACGGCGTTAAAATAATAGGAAATACGATGAGGTTTCGGTTAGAATAATAATACTTCGATAAGAACGTTAGCGGCGTTAGTAATAAATAAGAAGGCGCGCCTTTGCGCGCCTTTAAACGGAGCCTTTAGCTCCGCTAACGAACGATAAACGATAGTCTTTAAACGAGTAAGGACGGCGTACCTTAATACGTCTTCCGGCGGGGCCTTACGGTTCCGCTAGTAGTACGAAAGAATAGGCCCTTAGCCTTTAAACGGAAGGATAGGCCCCTAGCCTTTAAACGATAGAAGAGGCTTAGGCCTTTTAATAATAAACGGGAAGGCGCGCCTTAATACGCTTTTAAGCGGAGCCCTTAGCTCCGTTAGCGGACGATAAACGATAGTCTTTAAACGAATCGGACGACGTATTTTAATACGTTCTTTAGCGGAAGATAAACGAAGGTCTTTAAACGGCGGTAAACGAACCGACGATTCCGTAGTTACGGGAGCTAGGCTAAACCTAATAAGCGTTTTATAATTACGATTTCGTACGTAAGGCTTTAGAGCTTTACGGTTTAATAAAAGGATCGGGATTAATAGCCCCTAGAAAATAATAATACCCCGGGAAACGAAGATAATAACCCGGGAAACGAATAACGTAACCCGGGAAACGGAAACGGCGGCCTTAGGAAAATAATATACCGGGAGATTAGATAATACCCGGAATACCGGTAATACCTTAGGAAGAGGAAGAAAGGAAGAGGGGCTTTCAGGGGAAGTAGCTACCGGGAAAGCGTACCCGGTAAGCGAAGAAACCCGGGAGACTTACGGCGGAAGAAGAGGAGACCCCGGGATATAATATAACCGCCGGGAAAGAGAAGAAGGAAGCTATATCCGGGGGATATTAATACCTTAAGAAATAATCGAAAGAAGGCCTAGGGATATATTAATACCTTAAGCGGCGGAGTTAGTAACCCGGGAAGCGAGTAGCGTATCCCAGGGGACGGAAGTAGCACTTAAAAATGCGGTACGTATCCTAAGGCGCTGGAAAAAAACAGGTTAGGTTATTAAGGCTAAACGCCGAAAAAAAGGGCGGTAAGGCGTACTTTTTTTTTTTTTTTTCTAGGAGGGGACCTTATATAATAAGCTATACCTATAATAAGGCCCTAGCTAATACTAAGGCATAGCATGTAATTAAGCCCTTAGTACCTACGGAAGATAAGGCTAGCTATTATAGGTACGGCCTATACGGCGTATCTTTTTCTTCCTTTTTCTCCTTGTCTAGCTTTAGTTCATTAACATACGGCTTTTACCTAGCGAATAGCTCTTAAAACCATGACAGAACCTCTCCAAAGACTAGGGAAAAAAGGGGTAAGTAGGAATCGACGCTTGATTTAACTGCAAAAAGAAATTGATTAGCAATCGATTCTTGATTAAATAGGGAGAAACTGACCTTGATTGATTCGTATATGAATAGGATTGAAAAAGGTAGGAAATCGATGCATTAGTAGGTAAATAGTAATATATGAATCCCGTTACGTATGCGGCGGTTTTATTAGATACATCTCCTTTAAGCAGGTAGTATAAACTTTTAGTTAATAAAAATAAAGTATTCCCTAAATGACTTTGTATTTATAGAGGTATTTACAGAGGTATTTATAGGGGAATTACTACTATGAATTAATCAGCATGACAAGGGGTTTAACGTATTATAACTATCCTCTAGATAGGATAACTTTAAAATATTCAAATCAGGATTAATATATTTTAAAGGTAAATAAATAATATTACATTTAATTGCATTAGTTTATTATCGTTATTTTAATTAGAGCCTTTAACGTTTGTTAAAACCTCTTCGAAGTCGGGTAGGAAGTTTTTGAAGGTCTTTCCTTTTTTCTATCGTAATTTCTATAGTTTTTATTACGTATCCTTCTTAGCCTAGATATTATTAAATGTTTCTTTTATATACCTTAATAAGCCTTTAGGTTAGAATTCGCCTCTTAAGCTGCCGGACTTTTAAAAGTATTTTATTTTCTATTACCGATCCTCGAGTATCGTATCGAGGATAGAATATTATATCGCGTTATTATTACTGAATAAGCCGTTCGGGATATTGATTAGGATTTTTACTTATAGTTCTTTTCAAGTAGAAATAGAACGATATAACTTTTCCGTTTTATTTCCATTGTTTAGAAAGTTTTCGTTAGGTTTCGTTTACGTTTATAAGTAAAGTAGTTATAACTTTAAGTATAGATACGGCTACCAGTAGTATTAGTATTAGGGAGTTACTTTATAAGAAATCGGTTATATACCTTTTTATAGAATTTAAAAAGTAAAAGTCTTATAATAATACGTAATAAGTTAGCATTACCTCCTAAGTATTCGATTACTATAGTGGTGCTGTAAGACATGCCCTCTTAATGCATTACGTAATACGTTACGATAGGCCTTATACCTATATAAAATAACTATAGCTCCCGTAAGTACGGGCCATGCTATGCTTATTATAGAGTTTATTACCTAATTAGATTATTATCTTTATTATTTTTACTTTAATTAAGATTCGTTTTTATTATTAGATTTACCGTTTTCCGATTAATATATCTATCTTAGTTATAAGCGCTTAAGTTACTTCGTCGTACCGCTATAGCCGAATAAATAACTTTTACCTTTTAATTCTTTTCTCTCCTTACCTCTTATACCTTCGGGCTAGCGACTACTATATCTCTACTACCAAGGGGCATAGCTAAGATATAATAACTACATTAGATTCTTCGTCTCTCGATACGTATAGTAATATTAGTTTCATCTATCTTGGACTATCGTACGAGCTATAGTCTTTAATAGAGTACACTTTCGAGTGAATCTATCTAGGCCTCTAGCATCGCGTACGCTCTGCTCTTCCTCATTACGCTAGGGTTTTAGATTTATTTTCTATTATTTAAGAGTCGGATATCGAAAGTTTAGATATTAACCTTACGGAAAAGATACTATAGCTTTTTATTACGGGTTTAAAAGTTATTCCTTAGGTAAAAGGATATAAATTAAATGAATAAAGCTATATAAAAAGAAAAAAGAAAAAAAGGTACGCTTTATTAAGACTGCGCTTTTAAGAGCTGGCTATATATAGGAGGAGCAGTTACGTACCCTGGTACTATACTAACTAGAGTTCTATAACTAGGCATAGCCTATTACAGAAAGAAACTTTATATAAAAGTTACCTAATTAGTTATTAGAGTATTATAAAATAATTAAAATAGTTATAATTAAAATAAATACGTTAATTGTAAAACGATAGATCTTATAATGAATATAGATTCTAAATTAATATTTATTTAATAAAATTAATAAATTAAATTTTACATAATTATTATATAGTCTATATTTATGAAAACTATAATTACTTTATATAAGTATATAGTTTATTATAAAATATTACGCATCGATTTTTCATTAATTTATACTATTATATCTCTTAATTAATTTATTGTCTACTTCCTTATCCTGTTTTTTATTTTATATCGGTAATCATAATGTTTCTATTTCCCGCTGGCTTTATGCTTATGTAGATTGATGCATACCACAGCCCAGCTTCAAATGCAAAGGAGAGAGGGTCGATGGTGGAGCCGGCCAGCTTGCCTTAGCGCAGTGGGCCAGTTCTCGGTGCACTGCATTCCCCCCGACCGCCTTCTTTCTCTCCCTCAAACTCCTCCCCTTTCTAATCTTCAACTTCTCACCATCCCCTTCATTTCCCTCCCTCCCTCCCTATTCACCATCAACCGTCTGGCAAGGATCGGACTGCTTGTTGGGTTGGTCGGCTTGATTCCTGTTCAAGCAGCACCACTCTCGGGGGTGAGGTCTTTGTTTCTACAGGGCTTTTTTTTTTCTATTTCCCGATAGTGCTGGCTTCTCGATCGCAGAGACTCTGGATCCTCTTGCCCGTCCGCTTATCAGTCCAGTCGGACACACACCTGCCAGTCATTTACACATACGCACATGACACGACATCCATCAAAAGTCCAGTCTCCCTCTGCTATACAACTGTCTTCCACTGGTACCGCCCTCTAGCTTCCTGTTCTTCGCTTCCTGTAGGGATCTCCCCGTCAGGTGGCCAGCAACATCGTCGACACTCGCAATGGCCTCTTCCTCGTCGAACGTTGTTGGTGTGCACTACAGGGTAGGGAAGAAGATTGGCGAGGGCTCATTTGGCGTCATTTTCGAGGGCACCAATCTTTTGAATAACCAGCAGGTAGCCATCAAATTTGTAAGAAGTTTCAACGATTGCCTCATCTATCCCTCAACTAAAGAATCACCTTGTCTTCCATCCCAGATCCTCCACCCCCATATTTCTTTTCTCTATCTACAAGGCAAGGCAAGGCAAGGCAAGGCAAGGCATGACGCGCTGCAACTTCTAACTAAACCTACCTCCAGGAACCTCGGAAGAGCGATGCGCCGCAATTGCGAGACGAGTATCGTACATACAAGATCCTTGTCGGCTGCCGTGAGTCACATCCTCTACAGCTTGCTGGCTCATTTCCAGTGTGGCTAATAGTATTTCATGGTAGCTGGTATTCCAAATGTGTATTATTTCGGCCAGGAGGGCTTGCACAACATACTGGTTATAGATCTACTGGGCCCCTCGCTAGAAGATCTTTTCGATCATTGCAACCGCAGATTTTCCATCAAGACGGTGGTGATGGTGGCGAAGCAGATGGTGAGCCCCTGTATCTGCCACATACATCTGTTCATCGCTAAAGTCAATCGCAGCTTTCCCGTGTACAAACGATCCACGAAAAAAACCTCATATATCGAGACATTAAACCCGATAATTTCCTAATCGGTCGACCGGGCACCAAAGCAGCCAATGTCATTCATGTAGTCGATTTCGGCATGGCGAAACAGTATCGTGACCCCAAGACGAAGCAGCATATCCCATACCGAGAGAGAAAGTCGTTGTCCGGGACCGCCCGCTACATGAGCATCAACACGCACCTTGGCCGTGAACAATCACGTCGGGATGATCTTGAAGCCCTCGGTCACGTGTTCATGTATTTCCTACGGGGGGGACTGCCATGGCAAGGCTTGAAGGCTGCAACAAACAAGCAAAAATATGAGAAGATTGGCGAGAAGAAGCAAACGACGCCTATCAAGGACCTCTGTGAAGGTTTCCCTGAGGAGTTTAGCAAGTACCTAACTTATGTGAGGAATCTTGGCTTCGAGGACACTCCCGACTATGACTACTTGCGGGAACTCTTTACCCAGGCTTTGAAGAATACCGGAGAAGTGGAGGATGGTGAATACGACTGGATGAAGGTCAATAAAGAGTCTTCGAAGGGCTGGGATGCCATGGCTAAGCCTGGACCGTATCACAATCCAAACAAGCAACCAGGCATATCTGCGCGAGAACTGCACAACCAATCCCGCACGAACACCCCTGGTGGCCTAACTCACGAGCGTTTAAACGCCGCGCAGCCCCCACCTCCGTCTCCAGCGAGGCAGACGGACAAGCGCCGGCCAAACGCCCCCGGCGCCTTGACAGCGCAGCGAGGTAGCGCGGTGGGGGGTCTCCGGGATATGGCCACTCCAACCCCGTCGACTCAAGCTCAATTCCAGAACAGCAATCAAAACCTGCAAACGAGGATGCCACCACAGCCTGTCCTCGGCGCGCCAGCCGCTGCTGGTAATGCGAGATCGGAACCTCCCCCAACGGGCTTCCAAAAATTCATGAAGGTTCTCTGCTGTGGTGAGTGAGAAATCGTCTATGATCCTGTCTGGGAAATAGCTGATGAGGTTTAGGTTAAGCATAATACTGTCCTTCGCCTGTAGACACCATGCCATCTCCCAGACCTGGTCTGGATGATCTCAAACCTGTCATCTCATCTCGGGTCCCTCTCCTTTTCTGATGAGGTATTTACCGCAATGATAAGGTCTCGATCAATTGCATGGTTGGTACGAGGCATGGCTGCCGATTTTAACCCATTGTATTCAACCGAGAAGGCTATATACACAACTAATGCCACCATTGAATCTCAGCCGCGCAGTGCTTTACAGAGCCGCCTATTCGGTGAGGTGCAACGCGATTTGTGCTACTAAATCCTGCGGAAACTACTCCGGAAATTTCAGAAGGACAGGCGATCCTTATGCGAACCGGCCATGTAGGGTTGGGCACGAGTAGGACCCGGAATACTAACGAATTATCATTTTCTCTCTTTCCTTCACGATTCCGGTTTTTATGAGATAGATACAGGCTGTTAATTACCTAGTCGAGCGCAGCACGGCGCTGGTAGGGTTTGAACTGTTGGCGAGCATCGGGATTGGGTTTCGTGTTTGTTCTCATCCGTCCGTCCCATCATACACAGTTTATAATTTCATGGGGTAGAAGAGACTAGTTGGAGGCTGTCTATTCGTTAAGAGGGACCAGAGTACAATGCCATGGTGGAGAGTGTAGAGATGTAGAAAGAGGAGGGGTGGAGGGCGTGATATTACGACGGCGATTATATGAAAAGTGCCGAAAGCCTTCTGTGAGAGGAGTCGAGGGCGGGGGGTTAGAGGGGAAGCAGATCATAGGGTAAAAAGAAAATCTCGGATGATTCATGTCGCGATTTGTGTGATTTGGGTTGTAGGTACCGTAGAAACAATTCTAGCCTCAGCACATCCGACTCATACATCTCGGCCACACAATCGCCGGTTTGGGTGACCCGAATTGGTGATCCTATATCAGTTCGATTGTAGCAACTTGGGAATACAAAAGTCGTACTTACCCCGACATAATGCATTATATGATCTTAGGGGCTCTTTGCGATAGTCCCCCAGAGACTGGACGAGGAAGACGATGTTGACGCAACAATGCTTTTCATGCACACGGTATATATGCACATGGGTATAGGAAATCTACGTAACGAAAACATCCATACTAAAACTCTGTGCCGTTCTCGTTTCCACCTTGCCGCCCTATTTCGACTGTGAAAAACACCCCCCCCGCCGCCCAATCCCTGAAACTGGTCGATTTTATGTGAGCTTCTGCTTGATGAAGAAGGACCGCAGGTGGGAGAGCTGCCAAGCACATGTAATTCCCAGGACAACAATCTGTATGAACATCCAGCGGACCACACGGGAATTGGTAGACTCAGATTGGTCTCGGAACTCGGCTTCACGTTCCTATTCCGTTTCCAAGCAGGTTGTTAGCGCATCACCCTATTCCGTGCCAAGGAGCCGAAAGCCATTCGCCCTCCCAACCGACCATGTTTCCAGACAAACTCGTGTTTTTGTTCTTCTCTCTTCGTCTTGAGATACAAAGGAGAGAAGCAGAGGAAGCAGGGAAGAGAAGACCGAAGGTGACGAACGAAAGGAGACAAGAGAGATATACGCACGCGCTGGAAGATTTGTTCGCGACGGATATCCTGGAGGCGGGCGTTGAGGTCGCGGACACGCTGGGAGATGTCCTGCAGTTTGGACTTGTCGGTGGACTCTATCTCAGAGGAACCGATGGCGAGGTCGAGGGAGAGGCGGATGCCGCCGTTCGGCTGGGCGGCGCTAAGCCAACCCTGGCGACCAGAACTGCTGGATGGTGTGAAGCAAAGTCGGTGCTCGCCTGCATCAGCCGCGCTGAAGGTGAAGCGGCCCGACGCTAGGCCTCGTTGCGAGACCACCCTGTGGTCATTGTCAAAAATTTCCTGTATTTCTTCGTCAACGGCGAACAAGGCATAGACTGCGCGCATGTATAAATCCTAGAACGCATTGCAACGTATTCAGAGTATGGGAGGGAAACGAGGGGTGCCAGACGAACATCGACGGAGATATATATGCTGATGCCGTCGTGCTTGGACCAGGAGCGAGCGTTGTCGTCCCATTCCTCAGCGGTGTAGTGGCCGACGACAAGAGTATCCTTGGGCAATTCTTCGAAGAAGCACTTGGATTGCGTGCCGTCGAGGAAGAAGTAGAGGGCGTGGGTGACGGAACCCAGCATTAAGAAGGGAAGAAGCACCCTCATTGTCGCTATCGTTCCAGTATTTAATTACCTGCTTGCGGGGCCACCTTTCATTAGTAATAACGACAATCCCGAGCTGCGAACTTGAAATTGACGAGTGTCAAGTGAGGATTCAAGGGTTCTAGAGTTAAGGCAGGCTATGGTACATATTCCATCACGGGACATCACAGAAGCCCAAGCCGAGTGCGTATCTAGATGACACGTACGAAAAAAGGTCCTCTAAAGAAAGATCGCATTAAATAAGAACTAAATAACGAGATCGTAATAGTTACTACTTATTATTAAAAATTAAACTTATAATATATTAATTAAAGAATTGCTTAAGTTATACAATATGATCCTATTTAGAGGATAGTTATAATATGTTAAACTTTCTATTATTATAGTAATGCAGTAAGATATGCTCTCTTAATGTATTACGTAATACGTTACAATAAGCCTTATGCCTATATAGAGTAACTATAGCTCCCGTAAGTACGGATTATATTATAATTATTACTTGATTAAATTATTAACTTTATTATTTTTATCTTAAGTTAAAATTCGTTTTTATTATTAAATTCGTCGTTTTCTAATTAGTATATCTATTTTAATTACGAGCGCTTAAATCGCTTCATTATACCGTAATAACTAAGTAAGTAACTTTTACGTTTAGTCCCTTTTCTTTTTTTACTTCTTTTACCTTTGGGTTAGTAATTACTATATCTTTATAACCGAGGGGTATACCTAAGATGCGATAACTATATTATATTCCTCGTCTTTAGATGAATAAAGTAATATTAAATTTATTTATTTTAGATTATCGTACGTATTATAGTTACTAATAAAGTATACTTTCGAGTAAGTTGTCCGTGATTCCAGTATTACGTACGCTCTGCTCCTTTATATTATACTAGTTAATTATAAAGGTATAAGGAAGCAACAGGAGGGTACACGATAGGTACCAGGGTACAAGGTACGGAGGTACTTATATTGGTACTGTAGTGGTACAGTAAGACATGCACTCTTGATATATTACGTAATACGCTACGATAGGCCTTAGACTTATATTAAGTAACTATAGCTCCTATAAGTACTGTAGTGGTACGGTAAGACATGCCCTCTTAATGCATTACGTAATACGCTACGATAGGCCTTATACCTATATAGAATAACTATAGCTCCCGTAAGTACGGGCTATGCTATGCTTATTATTTAGTTTATTACCTAGCTAGATTATTATCTTTATTATTTTTACCTTAATTAAAGATTCGTTTTTATTATTAAATTCGTCGTTCTCCGATTAATATATTTATTTTAATTATAGGCGCTTAAGTTATTTCGTCGTACCGCTATAGTTAAATAAATAACTTTTACGTTTTGCTTTTTTTCTTTCCTTACCTCTTATGCCTTCGGGCTAGCGACTATTATATCTTTACGACTAAGGGATATAGCTAAGATACGATAACTATATTAGATTCCTTATTTCTCGATTAGTATAGCGGTATTAGTTTTGTTTATCTCGGACTATCGTACGAGCTATAGTCTTCGATAGAGTATACTTTCGAGTAAACCTATCCGGGTCTTTAATATCGCGTACGCTTTACTCCTCTTTAGTAGCGATTACCTTATAACTTTTTCGACCCCTTAACCTTTAGTTTACGGAGTTTTTATTACGTTATTAAGATTTAAAGGATACCGATCGCCGTCGGCGCCGTTATTTAACCCGCGAAGTAGTCCGCGTTTTACGTTAAATAAAGTATTCCGCCTTATAGTTATTTATCTATTATAGGAAGGTACGTATAAGCCCGGGAACTTTTATTACGATACTATAGCCGCTAAGATACTACCTAGCCCTTAATATTTATAACGTTATTAAGCTATCGATATTACGATATAATACGACGACTAAACCGCGTTTATATCGGTTAAAATATTCCTCGTATAGTTATTTATTTACTATATAGAGGAACCTATAAAACCTAGGAGAACTTTCGTCGTAATATTATTACTACTAGGGATAGTACTTAGCCTTTAATACTAACCGCTTTCCCGAACCGCTAATAATATAGTATATTTTATACGAGTAAATAAAGCTTATAGCGATTAAGGCAGCCTCCTTATAGTTATTTATTTACTATATAAAGGACGTACGAACGCCTTAGCATAAATTACGATAACGTATACGACCCGCTACTCCTTTACTAATATTAAGGGCGGATAAAGGCTAATAGTAATTATGCCTTAACCGATCTTACGATAGCTTCTTTTTCCCTTTAAACCTATTAATCGATATAAATTAAATATATAAATATTAATAACTTATTATACTAGAGGTATTTTAAGATACCTAGGCGTAGCGATTCGACGATATAATATACGATATAATATAGATATTAGCATTAATAGTATAAATAAGATTAATAAACTAGTAACTACTAATAACTGATAATTTTAAAAAGAATTAAGAATTAATATTAATAAGATTACGTAGATATAAAGGATTAAGGAAACGAAACTAGAGTCGAACTAATAGGTATATCTATATATAAATTAGCCTTATATTATTAACTAATAATTAGTATAGCGAGAAGTACTAACATAAGCGTAAAACGGCGCCTAGCGGTAATACCGTTAATATTATTAAATAGCTCCCGTTAAATCGAAACCGGCCTATAGTTATAACCGGTATTATATCTAACGCGATTCTTTACTCGGGATCTATCCCCTATACGTATTACCTTAACGAAGGTTATACGTTAGGAGTTTTAAACCTTAATAAGAGGAATTATTATCGACTTATTTATAATAATTAAACTATTAGTTTAAGGAATACGCATTATACTTTAATTAAGCATTAACCGACTAGAGAAGCTCGTATAATACCCGGACTTTATCGATCGGGATAATATAATAAATAATAATATACCTATACTAGAGGAAAAGTATTAGGATATAAATAATAGCTATCTTACCTTTACCCTTATATTAAATAATAAGACCCTTACTATTCCTCTTTTTACTTTATACCTCGTACCGTTAGACTAGACGGAATCCGTAGCTAAGAAACGGAGTAAATCGCCGTTAGGACCCGAAGTAATAAAAATTAAACTACTAATAAAAACCTTAAGAGTCGATACTAGCTCTCCGCCCTTATATCCGCCCGAAAAAAAGAAGAACGACGATAAAACTCCTACTTAACTACCCCTTATCCGCGGCTTTATACTTATCCCGCTAATCCCTATGGCATTATCTTAGAATAATAATAACGGGGCCTCTAGGAACTAAAATATACCGATAGCTACCCCGATTATCGTAATACTAGCCATTAAATTTCCTAACCCTACCGATTACCCGAGGCTTAAGTTTAATAAATATAACGTAACTAAGTAACTAGAAAGAATAAATTAACTATTTAACTACTACCGTATAAATAACGACGATAAGATTAAGAAAATCGGCGAATAAACTACGATTAAGATTATTAAGGAGCGTATTAACGACGTTACGAAGGATTAAACGATTTAAAGAGTTATCATTATAACCCTAAAGTACCGTTTTAAAATTACTGTAGTAGTGCGGTGGATCTAGGCTACGTAGCCTTTTCGATGTGTATTTATATGGGTCGCGCACTCATATTTTCATCAGTCAGACTTAGACCTATAGATATCACAGCCTATAGCTATTCACTCGTTTCTTGCCATGCCTTTCTAGCCATCCTCGTTGCCCTTTTCTAGTTCCCTTTTCCCAGCTGCCGTTTTCAGCTAGCCGATCAACCGATTACAGCTGTTTACAGCTGTGATCTTGGGTTGATCGGCACTGGGCCAGTTATTGGCAGTTAGGTAGCCCTTTTCGTGCCTCCGTCAGCGTGCCTACGCTGCTCCTGTTCATTACCGATAAACTAAGTTAAGCTAACGTTAAACGAAAACTCGTATAGCTAAAACGAAGTAACGTAATTAACGATCCTAAGGCGATTTTTACGTATCTTATAAACTATAAATATCTCTCTAAACTCGTAAACGATAACGGAAAGCTTCCCTAAAAGGTAGGATACCTAACCGATAAATTCCGGATATCCCTAATTATAAAGTTCTATAAAACGAAAAACTATAACTATAATAAGATCGGAAATATCGACTATCGGATTCTTTATACCTAGCTTTATAAGTAAACGGAACGTCGTATAGTAATATAAATTACCGATAAGGCCTAAGCCGAAGAACGACGATAGTAGAAAACGGTAACTTTCGAAGAACCCGAGAAGCTTATAATATAAATAATTTAACGATTAGCGACTCCTAGCCTTTAAATGCCTCTACTATTACCTTCCTTATAGCCTAGACCCTCCTACGGCTACCTAAGTATTAATTAAGAAGTTAATATATAGGCCTTCTACGACCGATTTAACGCTTTAGAAATAAAGATAACTTCGTAGAACTACCGTTAGAAGAATAACTCTTATGGCCCTAGGGGTACGTACGGCGCCGATTAATAATATTAATAAGAAAACCCGTTCCTAGTAAACGCGGTTCGGAACCTAAGTCTTTATAACCTATAAACTAATAAAAGAACCCTAGTAAGCTTTAAACGTAATATCATACTAAACTACTAAGGCATACGTAATAGGATTTTACTAACTTAATCGAGTAATTATAAGGAATTCGAATACTAGTTTTATAATACTTTCGATCGGTTCTATAATTATAGCCGCTATCCGTTACTAATGGATATAACCTAGAATCGGTTCTACCATAGGAGTAAAAAGCGATTATATTACCTCGAGAACGGAAACCTAGATAAGCTAAAGTTAATATTAATCTTAAGATCGATTATTACCTAAGCTAAGCGTAAAAAAGAACCGATCGCTTATTATATCTTATTTTACGTATATTAAAGTAAGGAATCTTTAGAATAGGTACGTAGGATAGCATACTACTACCTAGCCGGAAAGCTAAAGCTTATATCCCTCGACCTACGATATTCTAAGAACGAGAATATAATACCGAAGCAAGAAGAAATACCTA